CCTTCCCTGCTTTCCCTTCCCTTCCTTTCCCTTCCCTGACATCTTTCCCTGACATCTTTCCCTTCCCCGAGGGAAAGGTGCCCCGTGCGAAATAAATCTGTATCCCGCTGAGAATTCCATCTGTGCCTCAGTGCCTCCTCCATCCGCGCTGCTCGCTCCTGCCCGCTCTCTACCTATCAGATGGTGCCAAAACCCGGCTCTTACTTCAAGGGACCTCGCACGTAAAACTTTCAGACTCGCTTGTCGTTACTGGCCTCTGTGAACACCACTGATTCGGCATTAAGGTACACTTCCACCCTCTATCTCTCTCCTCTCTCCCATTCCTTTCAGCTCTCTCTCCCTCTCTCTCTCCCCTTTCCCCTTCACTACTCTCCGCCAGTTCTCTTTTCATCTTCTTTCCAATCAAATTCGGTCACTCAAGGCCACTGGACAGCACTGGTTTCTGCAACCGTTGAACTGCCCGGCACAGTTACTGTGTCTGTCCACGCCCACCTGGGAGTCAGACCTGCCTCCCCATCACACTCAAATCCTTTTCCCTACCTCAGCTCCCTTCCCTTCCTTGCTCCTGCCATCTTTTACCTTCCCCTAACATCTCCCCCCCACCCTCTCCTCTCCCTCCATTCACTAGCTACTCTGAGCTTCATCTAGGCCTCTCCATTCTTCTCCATTCCCGGCCCATCTCGGCCTCCAGGCCCACTACCTTGTTTCCTTCTACTTTGGCTCCTACTGGCTAGTCACGCACCACACTGCAGAACCTCTCCTAACTCGTTTTTACTCACTCAAAATCACATCGGTGTGTGGGAGGTTCCGCCATGCCTTTGACTACAGGACGCTGTGGTCACTGGCAGGGACACGCACAACTCGTATTCCCCCCCCCCCAGGGATCCTTCCACCCCCTCTTCTGCAATGGTCCCTGAGCCTGGGAGGATGGAGTTTAAAAGAGGAAGCCTGTTCAAGGACCAGCACTCTGCAGACTCTTATTTGTGCTTTGGCTATTTGTGACCTTTTGTGTTCTCCTGTCTGGCACTGTTTCTTGTAATGTAGCCTTCAGCTATACACAAGGACTCATGTATGGATATTGTGTAATTTGTCATTATGTAATTTGCATGATAGAGCTTCATTGATGAGAATTGAGAGATGCATTAGTGTTCTTTTTACCCCTTGTTCTATGCTCCATGAGCCTTAGGTGTGGAGGTTGCATCCTAGATGTGCCACTTAGGCTTGGGCAATTTCACAGTCTGTGTGTGTGTATTAGTCAACGTTCTCCAAAGAAACAGAACCGGTAGAATGAATATACATGTATAGGGATTTATCAGCTTAGCTCACAGGACAGAGTCCAAGTAGTCCAACAATGGCTGCACCACACTGGAGAGGCTGAGAATCCACAGTCTCAGTCCACTAGGCTGGATGTCTCAGTAGTCCCAATCTGGCGCTGAAGGTCTGACAAATTCCAAAAGATCAGCTAGTCTTCAGTCTACAGCAAGACGAACTCACCAGTGAGACAGAAGGTAAGCAGCAAGAAGCCAGGCATTCTCATCTGCCTTGGCCTTTTATATGGGCTGCCATCAGAAGGTAACACCCATATTTAGGGTGTGTCTTCTGGCTTTAGATGATCCAATCAAGAAGTTCTTTTTCATTTCAGTTAATCTCAGATCAAATCAAGTTGACACCCAGGATTAGCCATCACAACCTCAAACTCCCTCTCTGCAATCTTCCCCCTCCCTTCACTCTCTTAATTCACCTTTATTCAAGGAAATCTAAAATCTTAAACACCTCCTTACCAAGTACTCCCTAGTCTCCCCAAGTCTGACTTCTACCTCAAATGCCCAATTTACCCCTCCTGTATCTAGTTCTACTTCAATTCCAGACCCTGCCTCAGATACCCCTGCCCCTACATTCTCTCATGGACAGGACACCCCTCCCATCTCTCCCACTTCAGCTTCCTCCCAGGACTCCCCTTCTACTTCTCTTCTGCCTCCTCCCAACCACTCTCCTGTGTCAACCCATACCTGTTCCCACACCCAGTCTCAGCCCCCTTCCCATGGCATTTTTCCCCTCAGGGAGGTGGCAGGTGTGGAAGGGACTGTCAAAGTCCATATGTCTTTCTCTCTTGGAGATCTTTCTCATCTAGAGCGTAAAATCGGTTCCTTTTCCACTAATCCTACTCACTTCATACAAGAGTTTAAATATATTACTCACAGCTATGATCTAACCTGGCATGATCTCTTTATGATTCTCCAGTCTACCCTCACCCCTGATGAGAGACATAGGGTCTGGACAGCAGCACAGGAATATGCTAATGAGCTTCATTCTACTAACCAAGCTCACCCTATTGGCAGT